ATGCGGATTCAACGCGTGGAAAATGTTAACAAGGCATTAGAATTCATCAAGCATCGTGGAGTGTCATTGACTAATATCGGAGCCGAGGATATTGTTGATATGAATTCAAAGCTGATTCTTGGAATGATATGGACGATTATTTTGAGATTTACTATTGCTGATATTAGGTATAGTGTTATAGGAAGCAAAGTACCTTTTTTTGTCGTCGTGCGAAGGAGTGACATGTGTTTTGATTTCCCAGCGAAGAAGGTTTGACTGCCAAGGAAGGATTGTTGTTGTGGTGTCAGAGAAAGACTGCTCCATATGAAGACGTGAACGTAAAAGATTTCACATACAGGTGAATACAAAGTATGTTGTTGTTACAAACACAAGAACATTGGGGACTTACGTTTGAACCTTGCTTTCAGTTGGACGGATGGGCTCGCATTGTGAGTATAAACAATTAGCGCGCAATTTGCAAGATTTATCTGCGTATTTACTTAACAGTTTGTCATGTTTACTAGTTGCGCGCTTATTCATCGGCACAGACCAGATTTGCTCAATTATGATGAATTAAATAAGGTTATTATTCTTTTAATTGATATACTTCTGATTGCGATGTTAGTGACGTAATTACTTATGCTTTGATATGATCTCTAATATTCAGTCAGATCGACATGGCAATACCGCGTTGGCATTCGAAGTAGCGGAGAAACATCTTGGCATAGTCGTACGTATAATTATATCATCATTTATGACGTCAATGGCATTGATGATGCATTGATGATATCCGCCATGTTTTGAAATTATCTTCTTCCCCCACCCTTTCTAACTCGCACATTTACCAGAAATTGCTCGATGTAGAAGATGTGTGTGATATACAAAAACCTGATGAACGGTCAGTCATGACTTATGTTGCTCAATATTTCCATGCCTTTTCGGAATTAGGTATGGGAGAGAGGGAGAGAATTGTGTGTGGGGTGCGTGCATGAGTGTTGTTTATTCACGAGTGCGTGTAACAATCGTGTATATATTGAAACACAGACAAGGTCGAGACTGCAGGAAGAAGAGTTGCGAAATTCGCAGAGGTCATGCATTCAGCTTGGGATATGGAACACGACTATGAAAGACGTGTGCGAGAGGTGGGCAAAATCATGTTTAATCTCCAAACAGACTTGGGAATACCATACCCACATACACTCATTTTCTTGCTATTCTCATAACAGCTAATGCAACAAGTAAACACTAAAAAATCAACTTGGTCAAACGCGACGTTCGACGGTACATATTTAGATGCAAAGCAAAAGTATCTCGACTTTGTTCAATACAAAAACACAGAAAAACGCCGATGGGTCGCTGAGAAGCGGGATCTGGATACTCTTCTTGGAAACATTCAAACTAAATTAAAGACGTATGATTTACAGTCGTACTATCCACCTAAAGGGTTGACGTTGAATGACCTGGATAGCGTTTGGCACAGTCTGTTGGACGCCGAGGCTAAGCGATACAAGTCTATCAATGACAAATTGAGAGAGTAAGCTTTTGCGGGAAAACTGTCTTTGAGATTAATCAAGGTTAAAAAAACTTTGTTTCTAACTCTCTTCCCCCAATTTCGATGTTAGGATCAAAGAAAATCTTCGTAAATCATTTGCGCACGCGTCAAACAACTTTGTTAAATCGGTCGACGCAATCTCTCACACGCTGACATCTCTCGACGGTGAATTGAAAAACCAACTTTCAACTGTGAAATCTTTAAGCGCAAAGTTAGGTCCACTCGAGTCCTCCCTGGCCGAGATAAAAGACCTCGATGCACAGTGTATAGAGGCTAATATCGAAGAGAATGATTATACAGTATTTACAGTCGATGATTTGAAGTTTGAATTGGATTTAGTACAGCAAGCTGTTAACAAAAAGACAGCCTTTATTGAAAATCAGGTAAGGCGTGCACGAAAAAGAGGTCCGAGAAGTGAGAGGTGGGATGTAGGGGGAATGGATTGGTCCCAATCACAGAATGTTATTTAAATACTTTTATCGTATGCATGCATGCAATTTTTTTTATAGATCGTGTCGAGAAACATGACGAATTTGACTCCAGTACAGTTGGAAGAATTTGAAAGTACATTCAGGCACTTTGATAAAGATTCATCGAATACCTTATCACCAGTAGAATTCAGTGCTGCATTGGCCAGTCTGGGCATTTCGTATTCTGTAAGTGGCATATGTCCCACAAAAATGTGGGTATTTGCATATCACACACACGGTTATCAAGTATACCTATTTACCCTCCTTCCCCTTTCAATTCAGGACGCAGAATTCGCATCAGTCTTTAATCAACTTTCTAATGGCGCCGAAGAGGCAACTTTCGAGCAGTTTATCAGGTTCATGGTTAACGTAACTGAAGACAAGACAACACCTGATCAATTACGACAATCGTTCAAAGCAGTTGCAGGAGATAAACAGTATGTCACGGAAATAGATCTCAAAAGATCTCTGCTTCGTAGCGACGTTGTGAATTACCTCAAAGAATCGATGCCAGAGAAAGGTGGTGTGGTTGGTGGATATGATTATGAAAAATACTTGGATCAAGTGTTTCAAAGGTGAAAAAAGAGAAATTGATGTGTACGAGGCAAATATTTGTTGATTAGAATTGGGCTCTTTTATTGTTTTTTTTTTCTTTTCCTTCCCATAAATAAGTAAACTAGTCTATTGTTTTATTATTGTTCGTTTTATCGTCAAAGTCATAACTATAATAACAGAACCACTTGCAAAGCAGATACCACATATAATACATACAAAAAATAAAAATTCTTTGTTTTTTTTTTTTTCGCTTTCGCTCCCAGATATAAACACGTCGATCCTGTCATCACGAAAATTCAGAGTAATTGCATTTATTGTCGTCTCTTTTTCTGCGCAGCACTCTCTTTACTGAAATAGCAAACAACGAGACTAATAATCGTTCCTGTGGTATATCCAAAGTAAGCTCCTAATACGCATGGTATCGGCCAAACCTATATAGGATAATTAAAAGTGTCCCCACAAGGGCGTAATACGGCATTAATTGCAATTATACCTTGACAAGTATGCCCAGTAACTATTTCAACTCTACAATACACAAGCGTCTTTATCTGATCCATCTCTGTTGATAAATTCCTCCTACCTGCCAAGGCCTATCCCAATCAAGTGGAATGACAATAGATCCGAGCCAGGCCCCAACTACTGAACCGACGGTTGGATAATAAACCAACTTCTCGGGAATCGTTTCTGGACTGTCAGTTAAATCAATATCAGATAACGTTTCCAAAAAAGGTCTAATTCGTAAACCCCGAAAAATTAAATTCTTTACCTGCTGTCACTGAATACTCTTGACCATACCGGTCCGTGGTCCTTGAAAGCTATTGCTGGCGGCCAGATCGCGAGGAGGGATATGAAGAGGCTGAACATGAACGTGCTATATACATGGCTAGTAACATGCAAATGGATGGAACACTGTCAATTATTATTGAAACTTGGAGCGTAACCATAGATGCACAGCTGGACAAATGTTGTTCATGGCGTCGTCGTCATGTCCAAAGATGACGATCATGAATCATTACATACTCTAATAAATGAGTCCCAAACAAGATACATATCAAATGGAACATAAATTCTCCAAAAAGTGTTAATTTTATCGCTGCCGGGAAATGCTACAAAAATAGACAAATGATGAAACTTAACAGATTATTCGCTCCACATTTAGATCTGGACTCACTCCCTGCTCTATCTCGTGCTTTTTTCCTTCCCGATCCTAAATTCGCTTAAAATTCACTTTCAAACCCACTTACCCATTTTTTCCTCTCGAGCATCATCATCAATTTTCCTTGAAAAGTTCTCTGTTTCTCCCATCCTTCAACTTCTTCATCAATCAACACAATCCATCTCCACGCTTCGATCAGTGTTTGAACGGCTATCAAGCACGGCACCGCTACCGTCAAATTCTCAATAGGATCATCGAGAAGCGAAGCATTAGGAAACAGGAACAAACAGGCGGAAATCAGTAAAATTGAGGCTAGATTTATCAGTAAATGTGGTAGGATATTAAAATGGTAATAGTCTTGCTCGGGTAATGGTTTGGGTGAAGGCGGTGTAGGTGGACGAGTGTAATGTGAGTACGATATAGGTCTCGTGCGTGAACGGGCGGTAGAAGTGGATGAAGAAGGATTCGACGAAGGAGGAGGAGGAGGAGGAGTTGGCTCTGACATGAATGTATGCGAGTGTCAATGTGTTGTGTTTTAATTCTGAAATTTAAACATAAATTTTTGTGGCTTGGCAGGCTATGTAATTTGTGCAACAATTTTTTAATGTCAAACGGAATTTACGAAAAAAAAGAATCAGACTCGTCCACAAGGAATATTACTCTCGCTCGCTCCTGTCGATTAGAAACCTTTTTTTTTAATACTCGCGCTCTTATAAACCATATTCGACCATGTCTGAAAATCCAATAGTATTTTTTGATATTTCCATTGGAGGACAGCCAGCTGGAAGAATGAAAATGGAGCTATTCGCTGATGTCGCGCCAAAGACTGCCGAGAATTTTAGGTTAGCTCGCTGACATGTTGTATATGTTCCGAGGATGTTTGATTATTGACGTCTTTGTTTTTGTAATGGTAGACAATTCTGTACAGGAGAATACAGGTGTGTTGTCAAATCTATATACACGTCTGTGTGTGTGTGCGCACAGTTTTGTACGAAATTGTAACGAAACTATGGCTTTGCCTTTATATAGGCGAAACGGAGTCCCACAGGGATACAAAGGAGCACAATTTCACAGGTGAGACTGCACTGATGATTACGAGTTACTGAAAAATATTGATGATTGAGTTTATTTATTTTACAGAGTCATTCATGGCTTCATGGTACAAGGAGGAGACTTTGTGAAGGTGATTAACTTTGTAGGGAAAGAAAGTATTACATTCTACTGCAATTTACTCATATTCATTTATATTACGTAGGGCGATGGAACTGGATCAATGAGTATTTATGGAGATAGATTCGCTGACGAGAACTTTGACATAAAACACACAGGATCAGGATTATTGTCAATGGTTAGTATAAGCTTTAATTATGAGGTTAACTAGTTTAGCTGTTTACTATTATTACTTACACTTCATACCTTGCCATACTAATCGACAGGCAAATAGTGGACCCAATACCAACGGATGCCAGGTAAATAAAAGGGTTGCTTATTATAACTTTTGACAACCTGCAGGCATGAGCAGTAACTCGTTACATTCTACTCCAATTTATTTGTTCCCAGTTCTTCATCACATGTGACAAGTGTGATTTCCTTGACGGCAAACATGTTGTTTTCGGTAAACTAATTGACGGGTTATTAACACTACGAAAAATCGAAAACGTGCAAACTGGGCCGGGTAACAGACCAAAGTTACCCGTCACGATCACTGAATGTGGGCAATATTAAAAACGGTTTATCAAGTACGAGTGTGTGCTATGAGAGTAATTAGTCTTTGAAACTTATAATAATTTGGATACGATTTAATGTACTGTATAAAGTCAAGATAAATAGTAATCTAATCTGGTCTGTAAAATTTGCCTTTTGACGCCTTGTTGATTCTGTTACATTAAAAAACCGATTGTATGAATTAATTGAGATAGCCAAAGATCGCATATTAATATATTATATTTGAAAACGAAATTCACTAATGTAAATAGAAACAAGTCATCGACAAGGTGATTATTACAATAGTACGCGACTATCGATTACCAGAATGTATACACCGTCTTATCACTACTCGTAAGACTTTGAAATTTGCATTGACAACCGGCATCGTTATTGTTTTGCGTATCAATTCGACCTTCAATGTATGAATACACGCAGTGTGTTATATTTCGCGGACCTCTCTTAACTACAAATCACGAAAAGTAACTAATATTTATCTATGGCTTTGCGGAAGTCTTACAACAATTTCAATTGAATAAGTATCAATCAACAGAATTGTTTAGAACAGCGTTGCTTACCCATTATGATAGATCATAATCATAATGTTCAATTTTTATTCTCCGCCTTTCTTTTGTGGTAAAGTAATATATGTTACTGTTTTACAAAGTGAAATTATCAAGTAAATAACAACTCTATTCGTTATTTCATGTAATGCGCGCTTGGTGACAATTTTGCATTTATTACAATATACACGACAACGAAAACGTAAATAACTGTCGTATTTCTCAATCGCTGGTTTGCTCGTTCGCACTGTAGCAAATGCGTCAATCCAAGGTTAACATAGTTATTCTTGACTAAATCAGTACAAATGAAACGATAAAAATGCTTATAATGTCGCTAGCAGACTCTCGGTTATATAATAAAATTTTAAACTTGAATATTTTTAATATTAATTACGCGTCGTATTAAGGATTGTTCTGGCCGTAGCGTAATCCAATCTGATTGCAACCAACAAGCGACAGCTAATCTAAAACAGCGTAGCTGAACTTTTATTTATTTAACCGATGGTCATGGTAAAAACGAATTTGGCTTGTTCCGAAGATCTTAATGTTCATAAATGTCCAATTGCATTCGGCAAGCCTTTTCCTTTTCGAGTTGCTAAATTTGCCGAATAAAAACGGTAAACAATTTATGCGTATACCACCACTTTCACCCGTCCTCATCATAAATACAATACGTGAGAAGCTATTGTTAATATGTAAGATGTAATTGACTCTACATAGGGTTTGTTTCAACTTTAATATATTAACGTTTACTGATGTTGTCAAGGAAATGCATTAACATTGATATAAGCACAACGTTTGTGGAATCGACTCATTACTGAAGCTATCCTTAACATTTAATCATCCTTCGTACTCTTTATTTAGGTGAAATTACGTTGATATGATGTATTTGTCTTGCTAATAAGTAGTAGGAATGATAATAAAAGCAAGGGACTCGTTGTAAATCGTAATCTCGTTTTTAGTACAAAAACATCATTACTTGGTCGGTATTATACAATATTATTTTAAAAATGCCGTTATACTGAATACGTTACAAAAGGCAACGGTTCGGCCTTTCGATCAAGCGTCAATATTTTTAGATGCAATTTAAAATGTGAATTATTTGTATATTTTTAGTCAGAATACACATTATCTAATGGTTGTGGTATTCGTGTGAATTTATCGATCAACTCTAATTATAGAGATTGGGCTAAGGAGTTTGTGCGTGCGCGCATGTGTCTTGGTAAATTATGTAATTATCTTCGCCGTCACCAAATTGGAAGTTTCTATTAGAACAATTTCAAACTGGTATACAGAAAAGAATATATTGACGGCGTATCGACGAAAAAAATAATTTGTCTAAAAAAAGGGCTTATGATTTCCAATACTTTTTTCATGGTATGACGTCATTTCCAACACGGTACTGGCGAATGCAACGACTGGCTGATGCATTGACATTCTTCCAAAAAATTGTGCTTGTTTTCAGAACATGGTAGAATTTTTCGTTCACAAAGTCTTTTTTTATAGCAATAAACATTCACTTGTTACATTTTCCACAAGCAAAAAATATTGAGCATTTATTCATATTTAACAATATACACCCCCCTGCCAAAATTATAAGTGCAAGCGACGATCGTCTTCATAGCCGCAACACTTCAAATTTAGTTTACTCAGAAATCCGCATAATAAAAAACAGTTTAATTTACGTCATTC